CACAAGAAGGCTGAGGCAGCAACACCACCAACCGACAAGCCCACCACTCACTGGGAAAATGTAAATAAGAACCTGTCCCCATCATCCATGTCTCACTATTGCTAGTGAGCCATGTATCCTCTACCACATCTATCAACGAGCACTGTTGTCCTGTGTCCTCCAGCCACGCTGCTGCAAAGGTCCTGTGAGGGAAGGGGAAAAGGGACAGGAGGCACTTCCCTGAACCCTAATGCCCACTGCACCGTTCACATCAAAGTCCCTTGTCCTCTGAACTGAGTGCATTTTTGTCATTTCTGCTTGATCTCCTGGAGGTATGAAGTGGGTTAACCCCTGTGCCTGCCTCTCCTCAAATGGTGGGAAATGATCGGAAGCAAAAATGTTTGGGCTGCATGAAAACGAGGTAAAGAGAAAATAACTTGCACAGTTGAAACCAGAACCTCAGCTGAGCCCTCCTGAGAAAGATACAGTGAAATGCCAGTCACTGGCAGTGCTGAAGACCTCAAACAAAGCTACAGAAGAACACACTGGATTAAGAACAAGATGAGAGTATACAGCGCATCGGCGAGGATAGAACAGCATCAGCAAAATCATCAGCAGTAACTTTGCAGAAGTCCTCCACATTATAGTACTATGTCACAACATAGGAGGGTGAGGGGCCACCTACCTCTGTGGCCATCTTTCCCAGTCCTAAAGAGATACACAGAAGAAGGATGAAGTGGGTTAACCCCGGTGCCCTCCACTCCTCAAATTGTGGAAAAGGATTGGCAGCAAAAATGTTTTGGCTGCACGAAAATGAGGTGAAGAGAGAATAACTTAAGAGGCTGAAAGCAGTACCTTAGCTCAGCCCTCCTGACAATAACAGAGGGAAATTCTTGTCACAGGCAGTGCTCAAGAGTTCCAACAATGGTATAAGAGAACACCGTGGATTATGACCAAGGTAAGGGTGTACAGCACATAGGCGAGGATTCAACATCGTCAGCAAAAGCAACAGCAGTACTCTGTAGAAGTCTGTCACATAATTGAACTATATGAGCTTATAAATCATTAACCATATACAACAGCAAAGAGAAGAAGCTGACAAGGCTAAAGGTGTATCAACAGACAAGCCCACCGTTCACTACGGAAAAGGAAAATAAGGACATGTCCCCATCATCAATATCTCAACTTTGCAGGTGGGCCATACATGCTCATAGGATATCTATCGATGTGCATTGTTTTCCTCTGGCGTATTCTAGAGATTCCTCACTATTCCTGCTTGAACTCTTAGGTAGCCTGAAATAAGGAAACCACTGTGCCCTCCCCTCCTCAAATTGTGGCTCCCCCTTATCATGTAACAGCTTCAGCAGCTGGAGTACTACACAGGATGCATAAATCACTTACGGTTGTGTCTGTAACACTCTCTTCTTGGAAGCACATGCCAGGTCACCTCGAGACAATGTAATTTCCCCTCCGAGAGGACCAAATGGCAGATGGGTCAGACCACCAAGCGGCAACCACGAGGAACAGGAGGTCAAGGTGCTAGTCTGGATATCTGATCTGGTAGCTTCCTGAACCCTCAAGCTCTTCTACAGATACCTATAAGGATCCAGATTTCACCAGCTTCATGATCTGTTCATTGACAGGAAACACATGACCTTTCTGTTCCCACCAATGTGCAGAGTATCATCAACGGAAGAGTGCAAGAAGCTAACAGAGAAATGATTGAAAAAACTTCAGCTGCGTTCCTGTTCACTCAATCAGGGGTCCTCATGATGCCTGACATGCCATTGCTCTTCACCATGGAAACCATGCAGTGCAGCACATTAGTGTCTGAGCACAGAATCCTGACAAAAGGCAATCACCAATTTTTTCCCTAGACCCCAATTTTCCCGTGCCCCAAATGCTGCCAATGCCAGTGTGTGTTTCCTGTATGACCTTGCATAAGCATTTGAATCAATGGAACATGGAATAAAAACATTACTGTGCCGTATGTGAGAAGAACATATCGGTAACAACACTTCATTTTCCTAATTCTCTACTGGTGAACAGAGCTCACCACAAATAGAAAAGACTGAGTGGTCAACTCAACCAAGACTGATGGCTTCCAAGAAGCAGTTGCTTCTCAGATATCTCCCTCAGATTACTCTACTAAGCTACCATAAAAGAGGTGAAGCCCACCTTTTCCTGAGCCACTTTTCACAGGCTAAGGGTATACACAGAAGCTAAGCCTTCACAGTAGCCAAGTCCAGCATTCTCATGGAAAATGGAAAGTAAGGTTCTAACTCCATCATAAAAATCCTGTCTTTGCCAAAAGGTATACTTCTCACGTTACACTCAACAATATGCTTTGTTGTAGTGCCAGGCATGGAGAAGGGTGGAGGAAACACTCCCTTCAATGCAGAGTGCCCATGGTAACTTTCCCATCAGAGTCCCTTGGCCTCAATCTCTAGGGAGCAGCTCCACACAATGCCTCTGCTTGCAGCCCTTTCCCCACCTCTAGGCTGTAGGCCCTTGGTGAAGGAATGTCCTTCCATCTTTCCTGATCATAGGTGCCCTTCACCTTTTCTGAGCCTCTAACCTCTCTAATTGTTGTTGTTTTAATAACAGATAAAGTATCCGGGGATCCATGAAATCCATTTACTTCAAAACATATCGTCAGAGGGATCGATCCAAGATGGCCAATCGCTAACATCTTGGGATTGCAGCTCTCAGTGAAGGCGCAGAGAACTAGAGGACACCACATGTTCAGACAAATTCTGGTCGCTCACAGAGCAGAAGATCCCCAGTGGAGGAATCACACGGGTCGCCAGCGTGACTCTCGTGGCCGGCGCAGCGGTTCTGCCAGCGCCTCTGTGCGGCAGCTCTCGGAGCAGAGTAAACAGGTTTGGAGGACCCACACTGGCCCCCAGCAGGACACCGGAGCCCGGCGCAGCAGCTGTGACGGCACCTCATCCCGGCAGCACTCGGCGCAGAGTAAACGGGACCGGTTTCCCTTCTGACCAAGGTTTCGAGCCCCGGGAAGGCAGAGTCACCTACTACGGAAACAAGAAGGAAGCCAGACAGGAGAATCCTGGGCAGAAAAGCACCATCAGTTTTAACGCTGCTGCTCTGGCCCTTGGAACTAACAACCTGGACGCCCACTCAAGAGACCTAATCTGAAAGTTGGTAAATTCAAAGACGACAAGAGGATAAATTTACAATGACGGGAAGAAACCAGAGTAAAAAACCTGAGAATACTCCAAGTCAGAACGCCTCTCCCTCTAAAGATGATCACGTTCCACATCAACAATGGAACAAGGCTTGATGGAGAACGAGCATATCCCAATGCTAGAATCACGCTTCAGGGAATGGACAATAACAAACTTGGGTGAGTTAAAAGAACATGTTGAAGCCCAATGTAAAGAAACTGGGAACTTTGAAAAAAGGTTTGATGAAATCCTATTGAGAATAGACAACTTAGAGAGGAGTATGAGTGAATTAATGGAACTGAAGAATACAATACAGGAACTCCGAGAAGTTTGCACAGGTTTAAACACTCGAATTGTTCAAGCAGAAGAAGGGATATCAGAGGTCAAAGTCCAACTTAATGAAATAAAACGCGAAGAAAAGATCAGAGAAAAAAGGATTAAAAGGAATGAGCAAAGTCTCCAAGAAATGTGGGAATATGTGAAAAGACCAAATTTACGTTTGATAGGTGTACCTGAATGCGACGGAGAGAATGAATCCAAGCTGGAAAATACCCTTCAAGATATCATTCAGGAAAATTTTCCTAAACTAGCAAAGCAGGTCAATATTCAACCCCAGGTAATACAGAGAACACCACAAAGATATTCCTCAGGAAGAGCAACCCCAAGGCACATAATCGTTAGATTCACCAGGGTTGAAATGAAGGAGAAAATACTAAGGGCAGCCAGAGAGAAAGGTCAGGTTACCCACAAAGGCAAGCCTATCAGACTTACAGCAGATCTCTCAGCAGAAACTCTACAAGCCAGAAGAGAGTGGGGGCCAATATTCAACATCCTCAAAGAACAGAACTTTCAGCCCAGAGTTTCATATCCAGCCAAACTAAGCTTCACAACTGAAGGAAAAATAAAATCTTTTATGAACAAGCAAGTACTCAGAGATTTCATTACCACCAGGCCTGCTTTACAAGAGCTTCTGAAAGAAGCATTACACATAGAAAGAAACAACCAGTATTAGCCTTTCTAAAAATATACCAAAAAGTAAAGAGCATCAACATAATGAAGAATTTACATCAACAAATGGACAAAACAGCCAGCTAACATCAAATGGCAGTAACCCTAAATTTAAATCGACTAAATTCCCCAATCAAAAGACACAGCCAAAACCCAATGGAATGTTACATCCAGACCTGTTTCACATGCAAGGATACACAAAGACTCAAAACAAAGGGATGGAGAAAGATTTACCAACCAAATGGAGAGCAAAAATAAATAAATAAAAAGCAGGAGTTGCAGTTCTCGTATCTGATAAAATAGATTTTAAAGCAACAAAGATATAGTGGTAAAAGGATCAATGCAACAACAAGAGCTAACGATCCTAACACCCAGATACATAGAAACTTAGACTCAATGAGACAGAAAATTAAGAAGGATATCAAGGACTCGAGCTCAGATCCGGAACAAGTAAACTTAATAAATATTTATAGAGCTCTCCACTTCAAATACACAAAATATACATTCTTGTCAATACCACATCACACCTACTCATAGGTTTAAATGAAACATTGATTGGCCATTATTAATACCCATTTTTTTCAGAATAAAGCAATATTTCCATTCACTCTCCCTCTTTCTCTTCCTCTTTCTTACTCTCCTTTACTCATTTTTTTTTCTTTCCTTCTCTCAAAAAAAAGAAATCAACTTGCAAACCTCTAGATCCAAGTCGGCAATGTCTCTCTCATTGCTTGATTTCCTTCCTTCCCTTCCCTCCCTCCCTCCCTCCCTTAACCCTTCCTCCCTCCCTTCCTTCCTTCATCCCTCCCTTCCTCCCTACCTTCCTCCTTCCCTTCCTGCCTGCATTCCTCTCTTTCCTCCCCACCAAAAAAAACATCTTTTCCTATTCACAAGCCCTTTTAGCATCTGTTATCTCTGCAACTACAAAGTCACCTGTGGGTCCTCTGGATAATGATATTGACTGGAAAATGGAGAGGAGATGGAGGCTGAGGTAACTAATGCTTTTCCTAGCCACAAAAACATACTTTAAAAGGCTTCTCACAGCTTATAATTAATCCCATAGAATTCAAGGCCAGCTAAAACCTAGATCTAAGTCCTCCTCCACCAGCACTCACAATATTTTGGCTGTGATACTGTGTCAAGGTAAGCCTATGTTCTGTAGTCATTAATGTCCTTTGAAAAACAGAGACAATAGCAGTATTTAATACACATTTTTTATAGGATTAGATAAGAAACTGTTCTTGGTTTTAGTAAGGCTTTTATCAGTGGTAGCATTATCATCTTCCTTTCTAGTTGACTAAGATGTCTCTCAAAATGACCATTGTTGTCCCAGTTATACTACTGGATGCATGTAACAGGGAACTATTGTAACAAGGAATACAGTCTGTGCAGTGTTTGCGCCAAAGGCTTGAGACAGTTAGCATGACTCGTCCCATCTTGGCTGCTGGACCTATCTGCACTGCCCCCTCTCGAGGGCTGTCAAGCTGAGACAAAGGTCGCGGGCTGAGTCACTGAGGCAAAAACAGAATACAAAGCAAAGGTCTGTGGTTTATGAGGACATTGTGCTGTCTGCTTTCATGTCCCCATCAGTCTCTGTGTAAGCAATAAACTTGATACAATTGAGATGCCTAAGAGGGACAAGAGACCCCTGCCCATATTTTCCCTGGAGCTAAGCCTTTGTTTTACCTCCTGATGGAAAACAGGATTAACAAGCCACCTTAAGGGCACCATTGTTTGCTTGCACTGTGTATCTTTGAAAAACTTAAACTGCTTTGTGGGCTGTTACCACAAGCCCCTGATAACTATTTTTATGGAGTTTCTATTTCCTTTCTGTTTACCCCTTTTCTGCTGAGGTAAAGTAAATGTAACAAGAAAAAAAGGTATAAAAGCTGTAACCCACGAGAATAAACTTGCTGCATTTTGACCATAAGTTACGCAGACCTCCACACTCCGCTTTACTTTTTTCTTTCACTTCCACGCACTCTCTCCCTCAGGTTGAACGAGACATTTACATTGGCGGTCTCGGGGACTCCCGCAGGTCGGTAGCCCCCTGGCAGACGTGCCGGACCCGAACAGCAGTCAGCTGCATTTTTCTGACTGGCTAATGTCTCCCACTTGTGGCTGGCCCTTATGCTCCAAAATAACATGTTGGGCACTAAGAAGATTCAAGTTGGCATTTAAGGTAGGAGATAGAAGACTTCAATCCCAGGGATAAAAATGTGCCTTTCCCATGCCTATAAAATAAAAAGTATATATATGAAAGACTTTTTCAAATTTCTGAGTGTGAGAGCATAAATTTACTTGATAAAATTTATCATGTCAAGAGTCCTACTTTTTAAAAAATGGGTATTGTCACGGAGCAGCCTAACTGGAAATGATCCAAAATGGTCACAATGGGTGTAATTCTATGTAGACAGATTTTAGTGAATTCAATTTCATCATATTCTCCTGAAATCTCTCTACTTTGTACATGAGTGCATGTTACATCTCTAACCCAAAATGTCATTTTAAAAAAAGATAAAAATATCAGCCTTCATATTTGTTTCCGCAAATACTAGTGAAATCAATTGTCTCCTACGCATATAATCCATATACTTTCAGTCAAAAGCCTTGCCTTAAAGTGTCCATTATCATGCATTCCCTTCCCATGACATATAAATAAGAGGCATGGAAAAACATGTTAAGGCAAATGTGACATGGAACACTTCACACCAAAATTTACAGCACATTAACATTCCCACCAGCAAAGAGTCATTCATTAACTACATGCCTGATGAGACTGTATGTGCTGGCCTCGGAATGAACTCCTGGGAAAGATCCAAGGAGCAAAGTCCCACTTTAAATTCAGAGGAGGCCCACTTTCTTTTTTATCCAGCATCCTGATCCCTGAAACTGCCACCAAAGAGACACCTTTTTGGTTCCCTCTCCTTTGTGAATACTTCTAAAATGCCAGTAGAGCCAGTCATGACAGCTGATGACTATAGACCTAGCACTTTGGGAGGCTGAGGCAGGAGGATTGTTCAAGCCCAAGTTTGAAGCCAGACTGGGTGACACAGCGAGACCCCATTTCTACAAATTTTTTTTAAACCCCAAATATTAAAATACCAATAGTCAGAATTACCCACTAAACCATTCCTTTAGGTTTTCCCCACAGCCTCTTACACAACAGTGAAGTGATTCAAGATGACTGTGTCAGTGCAGGGGCAGAGGGCACAACACACGCATGTGTAACAGAGAGGAGGAGTCACAGTTACCTTGTTTCACAACTGCTTTTGACTAGGAAATAAGCTGTTCTAGGTCACTATCACATTATTTGGTTACGAAACATGGGTTTGGGGTAAAGCTCTTCTATGTGTATCTCAGGTCTCAGTTTTTCATCAGGTGGGAAATAACAATGACCCTCATCATCCAAGGATTTAAAGTAACTTAACGAAATACAGGGATAAATCAGAAGAGTACGAATATCATTGTGTGGGATAAAGGCTAGACATTTTAGTGTCTATTCAAAAGGGAATGTGGAATTTGACCTAGGGTGAGTGACTTCACGTTCTGTGATGCTACCTTCTGAATGAAACTTGTGTCAAGAGAAAAGTAGAGAAACCAAACCAGAAGTATCTATTGAGACTAGAGGTTAAAAGTCTCTTTGAGAACATTTGAGAATAGTGCATATTTTCATCTAGCACTTTTCTTCCCTCTGTCAAATGGTCAGGTGTCTTCACCTGAATTTCAATAAATTAATCACCACACCTAAAAGAAATGACTTTACAAAGGCAAAGAGAAGAGACATCTCTGGCATTGCCAGTCAACAGGCTCCCTCCAGGCTGCACAGTTTACAGATGGTAGCGAGTCCCAACTGGTGCTGGGTAATGAGCCCTGTTAAGGTCCATGTAAGGTATCCAAGCTGGCTGGAACAGAATATGGCTCAGAAAAAGGAAAAGCCAGAGGTCCTGGCTGCCTCTTTCTTCACAGCAGGATTAATGAGCTGTGATTTCCAAGGAGATGCCTCAGTAATCCCTGAGGAAGCTTGCTGGCCCTGGGAAGGCAAACAAACATTTCAATAACATTATGGCAAAGACAAACAGCTTGGGCAGGGGCGGGGAAGCAGTGATAGGAAGGGAGTGAAACTGAGCACCTTCATGTTCTCCAATATATGGATTCAGGAAGTAGGATACTAATTCCTTGACCATCTCTTGTGTGCTAGGCCCTTAACAAGGATGATCACACTTGATTCTCACAACATCCCTGAATCCATGGTATAAATCCCATTGTGCAAATGAGGAAACTGAGGATCAAAGATGATAGTGAGAAAGGGCCATGTGACCTTCAGACTCAGATAGTGGAAACCAGGAATGAGACATGCTATGTGGTCCCAGCAATGTCTGCAAAGCAAAGAACTGGCCGACGGTGCCTGAGTGGGGGAAGATTTGAAGGTGTGTCAATATATGCATTGCTTTCATTGTTAGCCTATGTCTTCCTGGATTCCTGACAAATAAACGCCCTCCACTTCATGGTGCAGGTAGACTGGCAGAGTACCATTCTCCACCACCCACTTGGTTCACGAGCCTTATCTTTCTCCTTTTTTAGATAGACATGGCCTTCAATTACCTTCAGATCCATGTTTTTACGCCAGACATAAGGCACCTGAATAGCACTCCTGCAATCACTTCATTCCTGGAGTTTATTTTTGACGGTCCAAGTTCATCTTGCTGCTGACTGTTACTGCAAGAGTTTCCAAAGAGGAACAAAAGATCAAAACTTTGATGGCAAAATGCCAAGATCAGGTTTTTTTTTTTGGAAATCCGAGTAATTCAAATAAATTAATTTGTCTGTAAGCAGCACCCACAGTGAACAAAGAAATACGAATAATGACTAAAAAGAGACGTCACTGCCTAGCAGGGTCTCTACCACACAGTTAATAATCAGTGTCCACGGACTGACCCTAACATTGTTGGCAGTTACTAGCTCTGCGATTCCGGGAAAAGGTTTCGACACCATCATAAATGATGGTGCACCTCACAGGAGACAGGTGGTGCCCTCCACGCAACACCTATCACTTCACACAAGTTAAGGTTGCTCTTACTTGTCTGGTTGTTCTAGACAGTTTGTTCTGGTTCCACTCTCTCCATGTTACAGGCTCACAGGCTGACCAGTCCAGGACTTTTCCACCACAGGTCCTGAAGGAGATAGTGGCTGTATAAATCTACAAGGAGACTTGCCTGTCAGTGGACAACTTAGCACCATTATAAGTATGTGCTTGGAAATTCTTATGGTAGGTGGCTAGGCTACTCATCCACTTTCCCTTCTGTAGAAGTGCTTCTGAAAATACCTGGTGGGGACTGAGTACTCAATCATGCATCCTGTGCAAGGTAGGCTGAATGAGTGAAAGGTAACTTACACTGAGCCTCGGTGTAAGACTGAGACTGCATGTATGCCATAAGGGCAATTAACATCGCTCTTGAGAGGCCTCATTGTCCCTGCCAAAGGATACCATAGGTCATCTTACCTCAAGTAAACGTCACGGGGAAATCATAAAATTTTACGCCGAGACACAATACCCCTTTTTTTTTTTTTTTGACTAGAAGGGGAGTTTCAGAGGAGTCCTTTTATGTTATATTTTTCAGTGATCAGTGACAAGGCAATTGATTTATGCAAAACTATGGGAAATAACCCTTAGTGTTCTCCTCACTTTGTTACTGATTAGTGACACTCATATACTGTGCAAGATTATGCATAATAAATTTCCAAATGGGTTTCAGGTGAGTATTCAGTATGTTACTGAATACTGGCATGAAGACCATGAAATGCACATAATAGAACTGTACTATTGGCATGTTACTGGCAGTAATCAGTAACATAAGTTGGAAAATTTCTTAAATTAAGATCAAGTTAACATCATTTAGAATAGTTTCATAAAGAATTCCTTATGTTAAATAATGTTTCTATCATCTGACATTGAACATAGTTTTTTCTTTGGAGAAAGCAATAGCAAAAATTGTACAGTTGCTAATATAATGCAGATTGGGAAATTTGCTCTTAATTGGCAAGTATACCCCTAGGATACTATGGGCAATGGGTATGTAATAAAAGTGACTTCATTCCACAAGGAGATAGTGTTCAAGGTCCAGGGCTCTGCCTGAAAAGCCAAGATTAATGAGGCTAGACCTGCAAATTTCATTCATTCGAGAAAACTGAACACATTCAATATGACCAGGAATTCCCTCACTTATGAACTGAACATTCCCCATGATTTTCAAGGAAAGCTTAAACAAAATACTAGGAACAGAAGTGGACTGTAGAACATGATATTTGACATACAATTCACTTGGGATATAATATTACAAACAACATTCAATCATGATCAACGTCCAGCCCTTCTCGGCATTCACTGTAATAAAACAAGCGTTGGGTCAATGCATGTGGTTTTACATTGAATATACCACAAAACTTCCTCCAGTTTTGGTGTATGTATGAAATAAGACACACAAAAACTAAAACTTTACCAAATACAATGGTATTAAAACAATTTAAAGGTAAATTAAAATCAAAGTTCAGGCTACCTGGTAATGTGAGGCCAGAACTGTTGTAAAGCAGGAAGCGCAAAGCCAATTAAAACACTTCCCTTGTTGTGCACTGAAAATAATGAAAAACTTTTTTACCCAAACATATGAAATGGACCAGGATCACATTTAATTGAATAAAATGATACCAAATACCTAATTCTTCTGTGAAATAACACCCCACACTGTTTAACTGCAGCCAACAACAGATGGTTAAGAGCATTCACTGTTGTAAAATATCAAGGATTCAGCCAAATGATTAAGTTCTGGTTTTATAAGTCAACACTATCCCCAAAACGTTTGCTTTAAAGTGCACTTATGGTGAGACAACAATGGTAAGATTTGACATTATATATATATATATATATATATCACAAACAATAAGTTATCAAATGAAAGGCACTTGTCAGACATTAATTTCCTCTCTGTAAACACAAAACCTTTCAAAGGCACTTATGAGAAGCCCTGGGACCAAAATTTAATTGAATGCAAGGAGGATGAACACATAAAATTAAATGCCAAACTGGGCCCAGTCTTGGCTGAAAAGAAAAAGCAGCTAAGGAGCATCCATGGTGACTGTAAAACGTGAAGTGCCCAGCCAGACCGATTCATTTCGGAATATGCACACTGAAAATACTTTCTTTTAAAGAATATTGATTGAGAAAGTCCAAATCAAAATTAAATAAATTCAAATGACTGCAATGTTATAAAAAAATTCCATGCCATTATATTAAAAAATAAAACCAGAAATAGGATGCTTGGGCATTTCATTCCCTTCAGAGTCTTAAAGCTACAAGCTCTTGCCAACTGGACCGTTATTTTCCATATCTGTAAAGTGCAAATAACAGCAAACATTTTAGGGAGAACTTTGGGCTAAATGCAGTTACATTAAATATACAAATACATTATATAAAAATGGAAAACAGAGTTCAATGATGACTATCAGGGTATTCCCAGTGATTAGTGGAAAAGCTGAACGTCCATTTCCTTAATTTCGCCTTGAAACTACCAGAAAGAAAAAATTTTCCTGATCCGGGTGCAGTGGCTCCCGCCTGTAATCCCAGCACTTTGGGAGGCTGAGGTGGGCAGATCATAAGTTCAGGAGTTCAAGACCAGCCTGACCAATATGGTGAAACCCCGTCTCTACTAAAAATGCAAAAATTAGCTGGACGTGGTAGCACGTGCCTGTAGTCCCAGCCACTCGGGAGGCCGAGGCAGAAGAATCGCTTGAACCTGGGAGGTGCAGGTTGCAGTGAGCCAAGATCCGGCCGCTGCACTCTAGCCTGGGTGATCTCACCACTGCACTTTAGCCTGGGTGACAAGAGCGAGACTCTGCCTCAAAAAATTGATAATAATAATTTTCTTTTATGGACAATATATGAAGAAGACCAATACTGAACTTTAACCAATCATATTAAACATATAATCATGTTAAATGACTCACAAAAGTGGCAGCAAATCCAGCTAACTGCCATTGCTTGTCATAATCCCACACTGGATTCCCCTGGGCATTACTTTCCTCCTTTTCAGCTCTAAAATAACAGAAAACAAGTAACAAAATGGGCAAATGCGGGCAAAGTACAAAGTTGAAACAAATAACTGGAGAGAATATCCACCCAATAACTCTGCATAATAAAGACAAGACCAGGTCCCTGGCGGCCGATGGCCACTGTGTGGTCCCGGACGGGCACTGGCGCAGTCAACTTAATCAGCCTATTCCTCATTTTTAAGTTGAAAACACCACAAACTTCAAATCACGAATAGCCGGGGTCCAAGACCAACATTTAAACAAACGAAATGATCTGAAAGACTCATCTCGTTGTTACACACAGCACAACACCGCTCCCGATGGCTAAGAAACTTCCGTGTCATCAACCCATAAGCCCGTGAGTCAAATCTGTTAAAGGTGTTAGAAGACACCATATGGCCGATTCCATCAAAACCACAACACAAACTAACAATTAAGAACGAAAATCCTTTAAACTTACACTTCTGTGATTGCCGGAGGGGAGGCCGCCATGTTCCTATATCCCCGCGGGCAACCGTCAACGGAAGCCGCACTGGACAATCCAGATTTTTTTTTTTTTTTTTTGAGACGAAGTCTCACTCTGTCGCCCAGGCTGGGGTGCAGTGGCGCCGTCTCAGCTCACTGCAGCCTACTCCTCCCAGATTCAAGCGATTCTCCTGCCTTAGCCTCCCGAGTAACTGGGATTACAGGTGTGAACCATCACACCTGGCCGACAATTCAGATTTTAATGAGCCAGGTCACCTGCAAGGGCTTCTTTGGCACCCTATCCATGGCTCTGCCTTTAAACAACGTCATTGGAGGATGCAAAGTGATTGACAGGAAAACTGTCCACTCCAGGTCTACAAGTGGAAACCCCACCCATGCCTTAAGGCCCACCTAAGTAATAGCAATAATTATTCTTGCTTATTATAACTATTCCCATCCCTCAATGTCCAGATCTACTACTCAGGTCTTTGCACATACCATAGTCTCTGTTTCTTGTTATTTCTGATTTTGGAAATTTGGCTCCCCGAGTTAATCCAGACCAAGAAAAACTGCATTCTCCTCCAGGAAGCCTTCCATGCTTTACTCCTCTCACCTTTACAGGTATGTGGGAGTTGTTCTTTGCTATTAGGAGGGCACATGAAGAGACATCAGAGCTGGGATGCAAGAGACTGATGTGATCTCTGGGATCAGATACCTGTGGGCTGGGCACAGTGTGGTGGATTCAAGGTTTGCCCTTGGGATTTTGGGAAGCCAGTTGAGGTTGCAGAAACTGAGGGAAGCCCAGGAAAGCCAATAACAAGGGAACTCAACAGCCTCCCAGGATTGGTCCCAACTGAATTCAAACATCACTCCATCACCCGTTTTTTTTTTTTTTTTTTTCTGAGACGGAGTCTCGCTCTGTCATCCAGGCTGGAATGCAGTGGCACTATCTCAGCTCACTGAAACCTCTGCCTCCCAGGTTCAGGCAATTCTCCCTGCCTCAGCCTCCCGAGTAGCTGGGAATACAGGTTCCTGCATCCACGCCCGGCTAACTTTTGGTAGAGATAGGGTTTAGCCATGTTGGGCTCGTCTCGAACTTCTGACCTCAGGTGATCCGCCCGCCTTAGCCTCCCAAAGTGCTGGGATTACAGGCGTGAGCCATCGCGCCAAGCCCATCACCCTTTTTTGGATTTAATGTCTTGTCCTCCCTTTCTGTCTGTGAAAATCTTGCCCCACCTGTCAAGGTCCATGCATAAGCCACTTCTGTGATGCTATCCCTGATTTCATGTTCCCCCGTAACCCCAAGAAGAGTGATTTCTTCTGTTGTTGTAAGATGAAAAAAAATGGGGCTTCAGATCTCATTTTCAAAGATTACCAGTTTCACAACTTCTCAAGGTGAGACTGGACTCTGCTCCTTTTCAAGAGGCCATCTGTTACATGAGTTTTGTAGCTGCTTTTGATTTGTGAGTCAGCTGACCTAGGGTTGACTAAGCTTGAATGTTGAACTCATCGGTCCTCAACTGTGCAAGGCGGAACACGTAGTCTTTGTGTCATGTTAATTGGACTGCAGAATCAATGTGGACAGCATCCCTGAGAAGGGCGCTCTCATGATAGTATTATCCTATCTACAGGAAAGAGTATTTTGAGAGGGAAAGGTGAAACTCCATTGTGTGAATAAACAATAGTTTATGATGTCACCCTACCCACTGTGCAATATCGTAGCCAATAGTAGATGGGAAAGATGACCTCACAGTCCTCAAGGTAGAAGTCTGAAGAAACAGCAAAATCAAATGGACTAAAATGAGTTCCAAACGATGGTTTAGGATGCTCAGACACCAAAGACAGACATCGGGTTATTGTGTAATGCTGAAAACACAGCTGTAATAATCAACCTGTCTGTCTCCAGCGTCTTAGCTTCCCTAACTAGAGTGTAGAAGTAACTAGAGGCAGGCTGGGCAGGGGGAATGCGGAGATGTTGGTCAGAGGGCACACAATTTTACTTAGACAGGAGGAGTAAATGTTTTAGCTCTATTGCACAAAAATAAGTATGTGAGGTGATGGATATTTTCATTAGCTTGATTTCATCATTCCAAAATGTATACGTATATCAAAGCATCACATTGCACCTCATAAATATATACAATTATTTGTCAATTTTAAAAAAGAATGCAGCCATTGGCTCTGATGGATACCTTATCCACTAGAGTCTGGCTGTTTCTTTACAAGCTCAGGGAATGTTCATAAATGAGTTTTTCCAAAGTTGGGGTTTGGGGGACAAGAGAGTTGTTGCAGGCTTTGTCCAGCAATCACTGAAGTGATGAATCTGGGAACGTAAGTATCATGGGGAGGGAAGAGAACAAAGGCCATGGCTGTTGAAGTGAATTCTGTCTCCAGAAACACCCAACTCATTCCATACCTGTTGATGAGGCGTGTCGCTCTGATTAGCCTCTGCAGATGGACACATGGCTGGACCCTCTCAATGCCTGTACACCACACAGATCCAAGTTCTCAGTTCACCTATGTATCCACAATCTGTGGTCACAGACCACTCTTGTCTCATCCATAATTGGTCTCCCATCGTAGCCAGTCTGAAAAAATAATCTACTACTTTTTATCTACTACACACTATGGACAGCGATTAAGCATACAGGTTCAAGTTATGCTGCTTGGGTTAATGTCACAGCTCTTCTTCCTACCACCTGTTTATCCTTTAAAAATTTTTGTGTCTCAGTTTCTTTACCAGTAAAATGTGATACTGTCTCAATGGGTTCAGGCTGCTGTAACAAAATATCTCAGGCTAGGTAATCTGTAAACAACAGAAGCTTATTGCTCACGGTGCTTGAGGCTGGCAAGTCCAAAGTGAAGGTGCCAGTAGATCTGGTGTCTAGTGAGGGCCTGCTGGTAATAGATGGTGCCTTCTCTGTGCCCCCACATGGCAGAAGGGTCAAACAGGCTCTCTGAAGACTCTTTTAGAAACGCACTAAGCCCATTACTGAGGGCAGAGCTGAAAGGCCCTAATGATCTCCCAAAGGGCCTCACTTCTTAATACTATCATACCAGATGTATGTTTCCAGTATACAATTATGGGACAGGCACAGGACAGGTATTTCCATTCCAAAAAGGAGAAGTGGGAAAAAAGAAAGGCATAACAGGTCCCAATGAAATCCACAACCCAACAGGACAAACATTAAATCTTAAGGTTCCAGAATAATGATCTATGACCTAATGTCCTACCTTCTGACATACTGGGCTAGGGATTGAGATTTCAAGGGTCTGGGCAGCCTTGTCCCTATGGTTTTTCTGAACACAGTCCACACCACAGCCTATGTCTGTGGCTCTTCTAGGATGGAGTTGCATGCTGGCGGATTTACCATTCTGGGGTCTCAGGGGCAGCCCCACTCCCATATCTCCACTGGGCAATGCTCTAGTGAGGACTCTCTGCAGGAACCCCACCACTGTGACAGTTCTCTGCTTGGGCCCTGAGGCTCTCTGTGTATAATTTGGCATCTAAGCTGAAGCAGCCAAGCCCCCCATAGTTTGTGCACTCTGTGCACCTGTGGAGACGGCACTATGTGGATGACACCATGGTTTATGACTTGTGCCTCCTACAGAGGCAGCCTGAACTGCACCTAGGCCTGCTTGAGCCACAGCTGGGGTGAATGAGGAGCACTGCAACAGAATTCAGGGAACAAAGCCTTCAAATCATTCTGCCTGCAAGGCGCAGGCATTCTGGGCCTGTGATGGGCAGGGCAGCCCCAAAGATCTCTATAATGCCTTCAGGATCATTCTTCCATTGTCTTGATGAATAGCATCTGGCTTCTTTTTATTCATACTCATCTCCTTGTCAAACATTCGCTTGCCTATGCCCTTGGTGTTCTTTCCTGATCACATTTTTTTTCATTCTTTACAACGTGACCAGACTGAGACTTTTCCAAATCTTTAAGATCTGCTTCCCTTTTGATTATAAATTCTGTCTTTTACTCATTTCTCCCTTGCATTTTATCATAAGCAGTCCAAAGAAGCCATGCCACATCCTCAACACTTTGCTTAGAAATTCCTATTGCCAAATATCTTATTTCATAGCCTAGAAGCTCTACCTTTCACAAAGCGACCAGGACACAAACACAGTCCAGCCAAGTTTCTTGCCACTTTATAACAAGTATCTCCTTTCCTTCAGTTTCCAATAGCATGTTCCTCATTTCCATCTGAGATCTCATTAAAATGGCGTTTGCTGTCTCTCTTTCTACCAACATTCTGATCATAACCACTTAAATAATCTCTGAGAAGATTGTAGATCTCTCCACAGTTCTCATCTTTTTTCTGGTCCCTTTCCTGAATCACTTTTTCTAGTTCACTCACAGCAATGGACTTCAAAACTCTTTCAACCTCTATCCACTACCCAGTTCCAAAGCCACTTATGCACTTTTAGATATTTGTTATAGCGACACCCAACTTCATAATACAGTCTGTCTTAGTCTGTTCAGACTGCGATAACAAAACACCCTAAACAGGGTAATTTATAACAGACATTTATTGCTCACACTTTTTGAACCTGGGAAGTCCAAAGTGAAGGTGCCAGTAGATTTGGTGTCTAGTGAGGGCCTGCTGGTAGTGTCCTCACATTGTAGAATGGCTAAAGAGTTCCCTCAAGCTTCCCTTATAAGGGCACTAATCCCATCCAGGAGGGCAGAGCCCTGATGACCTAGTCACCTCCCAAAGGCCCCACCTCTTAAAACTAGCACATTGGGTATTAAGTTCCAACATAAAAATGTTGAGGGGACACCAACATTAGGATCAGAGCAGATACCAATAAGAACCATGCTATTGGGTCACCATGACATTAGGTGAGTTAATGGAAAGGACTTAGAATAGTTCCTGGGACATACAAAGTTTTCACATGAAGTTAGCAAAGTAAGACAGACGGGACATATACACACACATTTTAATAACTTTCTGCATGCTTTGGTTAAATCTCACCTCCTTCCTGAAACCTTCCTGTGCCATTCTAGTCCACATTGATCTACTTTCTCTAATTCCTTTTATACCTAAAATTCGTAACAACAGTGAGTCAGCACATCCAGGCCCCAGGAGAGCCTCAGAGGAAACAACCTGGGTCCTCAGGCCCGAACCTGAGGTGCAGATGGTGAATTCACAGCAGGAGGGAGGCAAGGGAGGGATGTCGAGCTTTCGCAGGAGCAAGAGTGTGAGAAAATATAGCTTCTCACGGAGTAACTCCAATCAGGCATGGCAGGGCCT